TATGTACCAGCCTTAAAAGCTCACTACCAGCATTCCTGGGAGATTTCCAACTCCTACAGATCTCTTCTTCTCAACATCTCCCAAAACCCCAACTAGTTCTTTTTATTTTCTGTCTCACCATTTTCACATGAAAACACTGGCTGACATTCCCTGCAGTTACTCCCTTCAATTTATGATTTTAACTGCCCAATTCCTTGGTTACTTTCACAGGGATTACAGTTTTAGGGGACTTCTGCCAGCCCATAATATCCACTTGGCCATACTTTTCTTGCTTTAAATATCAATGATGACAAAGACTTCTGGCTTTTCATCCTCACAGATCTGCATCGCTGAGTAAGTGATGGCTTTGACCTCTGTGCCCTGGAAAAGAGACACAAACCCACGGATTTTCTAAATGATATCCTTTGTCACAGTTCCTAACACACAGTTCTTACCACTTCCCTCAAATGCTATCCAGTTTCATAGACCTCCTCCCCCAAAAAACTGACTAATAAGAAAAATGCCATGCTATTAAAAAAAAAAAAGGAGCTCTTCCCTTATTTTACTGCCTCTTAATGCCACAAATCCCTCCTCTTGCCTCTGACAGACCATCCCCACGTGCTGTGCTAAAACTGACACAGCTAAAGAGCTGGCAGGAGATCAGGATTTGCTTGTGGCAGTTCTTTAGGGGGGAAAAAAGAAGAAAGAAGCAAAAACTGACTAAGCCAAAGGCTGTGCCAGTAGTGTGAAACCCAAACCCACATGCACTTTCTGAATAATGGTTGGTTTTCTGTGTTATCAGCATCACAAAACCAAAGCCAACTGTTGAGTTTTGCTGGTGCTGAGGAGAAGTCAGGCTCGGGTCAACAGTTTAAGGAACACATTCACAAAAAAAAAAACCCCAAAGTTTAGTGCCTGTGATTCCACCCAGTCATGTTTGTACTTGGATCCCTGGAGGACTCTGATTTAAAAGACACCACACCTCCCCCTCCTAAATGGAAAAGATGGACAGAGGAACCACTGCATACCTGTGGGTGTTTGCCTAAAGAGAACTCTTCTCCCCACCTTTAAAAGCAAAAAGAAGAGAGGTTGGAACTTTGGTAGTGTTCACCAAATGTGATAATTAGTTTCACTGATGAGTATAGAGCAGTGAGACTTTCACTTAAAGCCTCAAAGGAAGTAAAAAAAAATAAAAATTCCACCCTCCACTTTTTAGATGATGGTTTAACTCACCCAATTGATCTTATTTTGAATTGCATTCTGTCGATGTGAAGCACTTTCACCTCCTGCAGAAAAAGGGAGAGGAGAAATATTTCAGTCACATCTCCCACCTTCAGGCAGAAAATGTCAGCAAGCCCCACTTGTAAGGCTCATATTTCACTGTTTAGGTGGAATGTAAAACCAGAGAACCTGACATACACTGCTACTTGGAACACCAGGGCAGCAGAACGTGTAACAGCAGCTAATAATTGGTGTTTGTGGTAACAATGCTTTATGATTTCTCGAGTTTTTCTGCCCTGGGAGTTCCAATTCCCCAACATGTTGTGCTGAAACAGAATCAGAGAATTGTGGAGTGGTTTGGGTTGGAAGGGACCTTAAAGCTCATCCAGTCCCACCCCCTGCCTTGGGCAGGGACACCTTCCACTAGCCCAGGTTGCTCCAAGCCCTGTCCAGCCTGGCCTTGTATTTGTCACGTTCCTTTTTTTTTTCCTAAAACACCATTTCTTTCAGAGCTGGTATTATCAGGGAACAGCCTTGTCCTACAGATGGAAAAGGAGCAAACCAGGACACTTACCCTGGGTACAAAGAACTCATTAGCACTGAATTTATACAGCCACTCATCCAGGAGGTGGAAGAGGAGAGACAACATGTCGTGCCCTGCGTGGTTGAAGCAGAGATGTCAGTTGTTGCCTCAGCAAGAACATCCAAACATTTTTTAAGAGGACATCCATCAGATGTTCAGCTTATTAGAAGACTAAAATTAGTGATGTTTAATTAGATTTTAATTAAGTGCAGTGCCACCCCGTGCAAAGATTCAGATTTTTGGTACCTTTTTCCCCTCAGGTTTCATAACTCCCCCCCATGAAAAGTCAACACAGCCTCACCTTCTGCCTCCACCTCCACTGTATCCACGGGTTCCACGGTCTCTGTGTCCGTCATGTAGCCAAACATGGCCATGACACACTGCTCAAATGCCTCTTCCAACGTGTCTCCCCAGGCATGGAGCCTAAAAGGACATGGGACAACTCACTGCACTGGGACAAAGAGAAAGAACCCCAAAGCAACCTGCAGGGGAGCAACCAGAACAATGAGGACGGGGGAACTCATGCAGAGGAGCTGAATGAACAAACAAACAAACAAACAAAAAAACAAACTTGCTTTCCAGAAAGAGAAGGGTTTGTGACAAGAGCTTCTTAGAATATGGAAAATAAATGTTTTACAGCCACCAAGGAAATTCTTCCTTGATATGGCTAATTGATGTCTGCACAAGCAAACTAGGCAGAAGAAATTTGGTTTAAAAGAGGTGAAAGTGAGATTTCAAAAGACATTTCCAAATAACACCCAGGCTTGGTCAGAAGCACCGCTGGAATATTAGAAAAGGAACCGAACATGATTCTGTGTTCTCCCAAAAGCAGAAGCAAAATTTACCCCCAAAACACCCAGTGAGTGACATTTCATAGTTCCACCAGGTGTTACATCTACAACCAGTCCTTGGCAGTTACTCCAGACTTACAGCAGTGCAAGAAATAATGAGTTTATCACAGTGAGAAATCCCAGCTGCCCAACACTTACTGCACATCTGCTGTGTGATCCAGATCTGAGGGGAAGGAAAAAGAGAAAAGCCATGATGCCACCAAAATTATTTAAAAAATTAAAGATTATAAAATATATAACATCAATATCTGGTTCTCTAACAAGAACTTTTTGCACTTATCCTCAGACATGACAAATCTAACTCTGCAGTATATTAGAAAAACTTAGCACAGGGGGAATTTTGGATTATTTCTGCCAAGCATAAAAAACCCCCTGTTTAATGTGATTGTGTGAGTGCCCTCTGTGGCCAGCTCTGTGTGCAGGGTTTAGCTGTTGTAACCCAACAGGCTTCTACAAGTTAACTGCAATAAAAAGGAAACTTTAACCAGGACTGAAGAGTTTATGCTGAAGTCTGCAGGACTGAAAATTATTCATGCAGAGGATGAGATTTGCAAATATTTCCAGCTCAGTGAGGAAATACACCTGTCCACACCCAAAAACACCCATTAGGCAAAGAGAAGAATTCAAAACATAGTAGGTAGTATAAAACAGAAAGCAAACTTTACTAATAAAGCATGATTACCATGTACTGAGATTTACATTTATATTTATTCAGAGGAATGAGAGAAATGCAAAATTACCCCAAAATTTTGGCAGAAACAGAACTAATTTGGGATGCAAAATAAATGCCACACCACGATCACTTCAGCTAAAAGATTGCCCTGATGCTGTTTAGAGAGTTAATGGATTCTCAACAACAGTCTCTAAAGCAAACAAATTCCAGTGCATGTAAAAAGAAGGATAAAACCTCTCCCAGTTATGGAAACTGCGTGACTACTGGAGTATGTCACAGTATCTCTGCTCTGCTATCAAATAAAGATCTGAACACCTCCTAAAAATATAAATTCTACCAGAGGAATAGGCACAGTCCCTCCAGACAGACATGGAAAACACACAGGGATTGGTCTCCTGCCTGAAGTTGGCCCTTGGGCTGCCACCTACTCACTTGACATCCTCTTAGAAGCCATTCCAGGGGTGGGGAAAGGAGAGATAATGATCTTTAAGTGGAGTATGTAGGAGTAAAAACACCACAGAGAAGACCAACACACTCTTGAACGTCTCTTCCTGTATGAGAGAGGCAGAAAAATGTCCTGCCTTGCTAAGAAATGGCTTGGAATTCTTGGGTTTGTGTCTGATGGATTTATGAAGGAACATTTGCAACTACTGTGGTCTGAGATAAATGTTTGATACAGTTCTTTAGGGGTTTTTGTTTGTTTTATTAAAAGAATCAGCAAGCAAAGGGACACGGGACAACCTTGGCACTTGTGTGACAGCCAGATCTGCCACACACGAGCTTCTGGGGCTGAAGGTTTCAATCTAATCTTTGTCCTAAGAGAAAGCTAGGTTTTGGTTTTTTTTTTTTTTCCTAAAGGAAAATCTCCTATAAGTCATGTCAAGGGGTTTTTGGAGGCAATGACACCCAGGGAAAGTTTTCAAGCTGACACTTTAGTAATTTATTTTTACCACGATTTTTTTTAGCACCCAAAGCAAGAAAAGCATTTGTCTGTGACAAAGGAAATTGGAGATCTTTCTCTCTGTGCCCTGCTGTTTTCTGTGCCCTCATGGTTGCAGTGACACACACACACACACCGGATCAGGAAGTCATTATTTTAAATATATATAATTATTTTGAAACTATGTAAAATATATCTAATAGATAAAAATATATAAACTGATATATAAAATACATAAAATGTGTAATAAAATTATAAAATACAAAACTTATAAAATATATAATGAAACATACAAAATATGTAGGAAATTTTTATTATTGTAAATACTCACATTCATATTTCTTACAGAGTGGAGGGTATTTGGCCTTGACAGCCTTCTGCTCCTCTGTCAGGTTGTAATCCCTCTCATCTGCTGCCATGGCCCTGGGATCCAGCTCTCCCTCACTTCCTGGGGGTGGAAAACATGGCCACGTCCTGGAGTGACTCAACCTGCCGACGCTGTGGAGAACAGGGAGAATTCCTCTCAGTTCAGCCTCTCTGCCCTGAGAGCACCTCGGGAACACTCAGCCACAGGCTCAGCTATTCCAAATGAGTCCTCAACACACAGAATTTCAGTTGTTTCTGTCCCAGCTGGGAGGTGGGAGAAGGTGGGAGTTCAATCCCACAGCACTCGCCCCACGAGTGTGTTCGGCCACGGGAGCCAAGGGATAACATTCCTTATGGAAATTGTGGACTTTGGGCTTTCCTGGGCATAATCATGTTTCTCCCTCCTTACTGTGAATGTGCTGAGCATTCCACCTGTCCACAGATAATAAAATACAGCTGTAAAGTGAATTAAACTTTCGTACTTCAGGTGACTGCTCCTGAGTTTTACAGCTCAGCCTACTGTGTATCACACAGCCACCTGCAACACCACTGCCTCCAAAAAACCCCTAGACATGACTTACAGGGGGAAAAAAAGCCTAGTTTTCTCTTAGGACAAGGATTAGATTTAAACCTTCAGCCCCAGAAGTGAATTCTTGGCAAATCTGGCCATCGCACAAATGCGGAGGTTTCCCTGCGTTCCATTTTCTTCCAGTTCTTTTTAATAAAAAAAAACCGGAAAAAACCCAAACAACTGCACCAAACCCCCATTTCAAAGCCTAATTCTCAGAGCTGACCTTAGCAGGTCCACCAGACTCAAACTGAAGAACCTGATTAACTCCAAGGCAACTAATTTTCCTCCTCAGATTTCCAGACATAACCACTGTCACTATTTCTTTTTCTTTTTTTTTTTTGGGGTGCATTTTAAGATTTACCCACAGAGGAGCCCAACACTTCCCCAAACAACGCAAATTATAGATTTATAGACATCCCGTAACATCCAGGCTACTTTTAAACAGGAGCTGGTTCTTAATTCCAAGGCTTAGAAGCAAGATACAGCATTTCCAACTTCAATTTTTAGGTGTGTTGCAGTGAGAAGCCTGAAACTGAGAAGCCAGGGCTCCTCTGGGGAAATAAACCCAGATACTGATTCGATATTTGATATTTGCTGTGCGATTTTAAACCTGTTGGCTGTGGATGGTGAGACCCCAGGTTACCCTCAGCAGCCGACCAGAACCAGCAAATATTACGCCTGTAAAGCTCACCGCCTCACCGAATTGTGTGGGGGTAAAGGAAGAAATTAATGCCTATAGATAATTAGTGGTTATAGATAATTAATGATTATAGATAATTAATAACAAGCCGAGGATACTCGAAGGCGTCAGGGGCAGCCCTAAGCGGAGGGAGGGCGGGCCGCGCCTCGGCCCACACACGCACCGGTCGGGTCCAATCCCGCTCCTACACGCTCTGTGGTGACCGGAGGGAACCGCGGTCACGGTTCTTTCCACTCGGGAACCAGGATCGCGAACCGGGAACAAACCCCAAACCCGCCGCGGCCTCAGCGCGGGGGTCGCGGCCCCTTTAAGACCGCGAGCGGGGGTTGGGGGGTGGGAAGATGGCGGCTCCCGCTGAGGGCAGGGAGCGCTGCCACGTGACCGCGGCGCGCGCTCGCGTCCCCGCCCCGCCCCCTCCCGCGCCTTCGGCGATTGGCCGCGGCGCGGCGGCGGCGGGCGCTGATTGGGCGGCGTTGGCGCGCGAAGGGGTGCGCGCGGCGCCCGGGGGAGCCGCGCCGCAGCGGGGGCAGGAAACAATAGGGAAGGAGCCGCGGCTGTGAAGGCTCCGAGCGCCCAGCGCAGCGACCGCCTCGCCCACCCGCGCCTCAGCCCCGCGCCCCGCCATGGCGGACAAGGAAGGTAAAGGCTCCCGTATGGCCGGCGCGGCCTCCGCCGTGAGGCGCGGGGATGTCCCCCCCCTCCCCTCGCCTTTCCTCCTCGCGGCGTGAGAGGAGCGGGGGCGGCGCCACCAGGGGGCGCTCGAGCCCCCCCCCCACCGTCATGGCCGCCGCCAACTCCCCGCGGCACCGGCCGGGGGGTTCCACCGGGACCCTCCGTGAGCCCCCAGGGGCGGGGTTGTGAGGCCCCCTTCGGTGGGGTGAGGGGAGCGGGGAAGGGCCGTGCCATGCGAGGGGCGCGGGCAGGACGCGGTGGTGCAGACAAAGGTGTCACCGGCCGCTGCCGCGCCACGCGGGGGTGCCCCGGTTCCGTGGGGGTGCCCCGGTTCCGTACGGGAGCTCCGGTTCAGCGGGGCCGCCCTCCCCTTTCCTTTGGGATGCCCCCGTTTCGTAGGGGTGTCCCCCGGTTCCACAGGGCTGCTCCCAGTTCCGTGGGTAAGCTCCCGTTGCACGGGGGCGAACCCCCGTTCCCTGGGGGAGAGCCCCGGTACCGTGAGGCTGCTCCCGTTTCGTGGCACAGCCCCGGTTCCGCGGGCCCGCCCCCGTTCCGTGGGGGTTCCCCCCGGTTCTCTGGGAGTGCTCCCGTTTCCACGGGACATCCCCGGTTCTGTGGGGCTGCTCCGGTTCCGCGGGGGTGTTCCCGTTCCCCGGGTGAACTCCCCCAGGTCTGCCCGCCCCCGTTCTCTTCCTCCCGCGGCGGAGGCTGGTGGCAGATGGGATGAGAAAAACGTGTGAGAGCAACCAGGCAGCAGAAGGAGCCTTGGAAAACTGGATTTTTGGGAACTACTAGTTCAAGGCTGCGCCCAGACTGGCCTGTTTAACAGCGGTTGGTGGGTGTCCTGCTTTTAAACGTTGTTACACGTCTGGGCTTTGCCTCCGTGGTGCCCTGTGCCCTAAGTTTTAAAATTTTATTGTGCTCCTGCTGACGACATGATCATCATTGAACCACCACAGAA